CACGCGCTCGGCACCAGGGGCGGTGTTGAGGGGCGGGAGCGGGGAGGAGGGAGGAGTTAGGTGGCAACTCCTGGGCTTCGTCATAATTACCAAAGTAGATACACAGGTGTATGTATATAATGTAAGCGAGTATGAGGTACTTACTACATCTATTGAGCCAAGTGGACAAACACACAACACGCCAAATAGGCCCCAAACTAAGCCCGGGATTGAACCGGATGAAGCGGGGTCAAGCGGGATCAAGGGGGACGATGACGGATCAGGCGATTTTCGACAATGGATACACCGCCGATGCCGAAAACCTCGCAGGAGGTCGTGGGCGCGGCAACTGCCAATGCGCGAGACGCTCTTCCGTGTCCACAGCGCCGCGGCCTGGCGTACCCTCGGGCCGCGATCGCGCGGATGCGGGATGGCCGCTCTGCGCGGATTGCCCCCGCGCGAGACGCACCCGCGGGAACGCGCACATCTGCGAGATCTGCGAGACCGCGCCCCAGTGCCTAGACCACGAGAACACCGACTCTGGGGGCCTATCCTCTCCTGGGGCGCGCTTCGACCAGGACCTCGAGGCGAGGCCAGCCATGGCGACGAGGAAGAAGGGCAGCGGCAAGTGTAGTGGTATATATATATGTATATATATATATATATATTGAATCCGCCGCGGGCGGCAGGTCTGGAGGTGGGCCTGGACGTCAGGACGGATGACCATGTATACACTATCCAGCGCTCGAACCGTCGACTCCATCTTACTGAAAACGATTTGGCCATCAACTCATTCTTTGTTGAAAGATTCGGCCATCAACTCTCCGAGTCGACGGACCCCCTTGACGGCCTCTTCACGAAATGGCGAACGCCCTTGACGGCCTCCCTCCAAATTGACGAACCCTCTTTGACGAGACCCCTTGACTTAGGTCGGGCCTGTCCCCCTACAGAGGAATTTTCGACGAAAAATGCAAAATACTAAAACAAGACTCCAAAGTAATATAAAAAATAGTCTGGTCTGGGGACTATTTTTCTAATATGTTTTGACAACTTTTGGCCATTTTTGGGGTACTTTTGGTGTTTCGTCGAAAATCCCCATGACGGGGGACACGCCCGACTTAACCCTTGGCGTCATCCCCCTGGGGTGGCGAACTCCCGTGACAGCCCTCCTCCGAGCTGACCGAACCCCCTCGACGGTCCCCCTCGCTATACCCTCCGTCTTGGCGAACAAAGCGCCGGGGCCAAGCTGATAGTTGAAAGCGACTTCGGTCTTGACGCACAAAGAGTCGGGGCCGACTTGACGGCTCATCGCCTTGGTGAACGAAATGTTGGAGCTGAATTGACGATTGCTTTCGCCTTAGCGAACGCAGTCTGAGGGCCGAGTTGACGTCTGAAGTGTCCGGGCCGAAATGACGACCGTGGTGGGCGCTTCTCCAGACGTGCGCCGTCTCAGCCACTGGGCTGGACTCAAGATATACTCGCAGAAAGCATCTGTACACCGCCACCGTGCCGAGAAAGGGCCATCGTGGCCCCGGCATGGTGTATACGCCCTCCTGGTCGAGGCCAGGAGGGTCTATACACCATCCTAGGGCCCAGGACGGCCCTGGCCTGGCACGGTGGTGGTGTATAGACGCCTTAAGAAGAACAAACGCCATAAACAGAAACTTTCGGCACTCCGCGCGGATTTCTTGGATCTGCGCTGGACCCCCCTCCCTGGCGCGTGGAGCGCACCAAGAGCGGCGCCGGAGGCGCCGCCGAGGGGGATACACATACCGGCACGGCACAGCATCATACCGCGACCCCCCTCCCCCTCCTGAGATCTTGACGCTGGATTTTTCACAGGGGTCGCTTTCGCCCAGCTTCGGTCCCCAGGCCCCCACGGACCCATCTGGCCCAGAAAATCGACGCAGAAAGATGGGGACTAGGGCTCTCTTCGTGGATCTGTTGGGAACCGCACGTGTACACACTAAGGTGCCTGGCCCCTGTTCCGTGGGGCTTTGCAGAAACACCGCAGGACAACGTATCATGCCTATTAGTTTCCGGCCGCTTCTGGGCGACAGGTGCTGACATAACAAAATGCTTTTTGTTGTTTCTCTCTCCCTCTCTCTCTCTATATATACATATATTTGTAGATATGCATGTATATACACTGTGTTTGGGCCGCCATTGGACACAAAATGGTGGACAACGATCACCTAGCATATGGGACAGATTCTGGACCCCGATTTCTGCGCTGTTGAACCTGCAGGGTCAGATCTGAGGGGGGTGCGGAGGGATGCCTCCAGGAGGAGGGGCGGGTGGAGGGCGAGGGATAAGGCGGCTGAGCACAGGCGCGGGGGACGTGGGCCAGTGGGAAAGGCGAGGGGGTCGGGGAGCAGCTACCCCCGCTGGCCTCCCTTTGTGGTACCCATGTTTGTGGTGGTCTTATATACAGCGTCGAGGCACGCTTGATCCCCTCCGGATCCACAATCGGCCACAATCGGTGGGAAAGAGGGGGAGGGACGGCGGGGCTGTGGATGAGGAGGGGGACCAGAAGAGGGTTTTACTCGTAGTGTTGCTTTCCTCCTCCTCCTGCCACTCCTCCTCCTCCTCCTGGGACTCATCGCCATCTCATATCGAGAACACGGGCTGCCTGACCCCAGGACTCTGTAATGGCTACGCCACTGAGAAGCTTCCTGACACTTTGGGATGGGTGTCCGCTCCTGCACATGGTCGACATAACCTCAAGACTCGAGACGCGTTCAGCGTCATCCTTCTCTAGGAACCCTTAGCATAATCTGAATATTTGTTTGGTGGCGAGGCAAGCGCGAAGTCATTTCCATGCCGCAATTCTCCACCCCAAGAAGGTCTGTTCCGCGCCCGCGAACACCCACAAGACGCTTTTCCTAAGCATCCTGCGGTGTTGGGTCCTCGTTTTGACGAGGCAACGCCCCGCGTTATCCCGCCTCCCTCCTCCTCCAACCGCTGCCTCTGCTTTCCGCATGTCCATTTCAGCACACCCCTCACACGCTTCGTGGCCTCATAGGGAGCTTCACCGAAGGCCCCAGCGGCAGGGTCCGCATGGCGGCCCCGCGCCCGATTCGGCACACCTCTCACACGCTTCGTGGCCCCATGGGAAGCCACCGAAGGCCCCAGCGGCAGGGTCCGCCCGCATGGCGGCCCCGCGCCCGATTCGGCACACCCCGCACACGCTTCGTGGCCCCATGATGAGGGGGGATCCACCAAAGCCGGTAGTCACAGCTGCGGCACAGCTGCACATGATGGGGCTGGCCCGCGCCGCGCGGTCCAGGCGCGATACGAAGCATAGGGCTGAACCTAAACGGTGTTTTTTCGTTTTCGTTTTGTCTTCGTTTCCCCTCGTTTTGTCTTCAATCCGCATTTAACGCAAAACGAGATCGAAACGAAAACAGCCCACGAAATCGCCAAAACACCGTTTAGGTCGCCAGGATAATGTTGCACTGGGCGTGGGTTGGGAGTAAAAAAAAGCCAGCTCCCTGACACCACCTCGCACCATGGCGAGTGGGGACCGAGCGAGGGCCCGAGAGGCGAGCGAGGCGAGGACCAGGGAAGGACCCCAGGGCGGAAGGACGGGGACCGAGGGAGAAGCCCACAAGACGTCCACCGGTGGCGGGGAGCAGGGAGCACGCAGCAACAGAAACAGAGGACGGCGGAGGGGAGCAGGGGAGGCTGCCGAGGAGGGGGAGGAGGAACCACATCTCGGCGGCGAGCCTGGGGGGGGGGTCGAAGAGGCAGCTCGACTCGACTCGAGTTCGATCGATTCCGAGCCCGATTCGATTTGACCTCGGATTCTCATGTGGGCTTCGGCTTCCCAGCAAAAGCCTTGCTAGCCTGCCGACTCCCGCCGATCCGATTCAGTTCGGCGGCGAGCCCAGAGGGGGGGGCAAGTGAGAAGGATGGTCGGGTCGGGCGAAAGGGGGGGATAGCAAAGGGGGGGGTTTGAGAATCAGCTCACGTAGCTGATTTTCCTGGCGCCTCCCGGCGCCAGAGGCGGCTATGTATCGAGGAATGGGCCCCTCGGTGAGGCCGAAATCAGCTGCATGCAGCTAATTTCGTAACCCCCCCTTTCCCAATTCCCCCCTTTCGCCCGGCCCGAGATGGGCCTTCTCAGAAGGCTCGGAACCTCCCCGGCCTTCTGAGGAGTGCTGTAGGCCTTCCCCGACGAAGACCGGGAGGCGCGCCGGCCTCGGAGAACCCCCGCCGCCTCTCGAGAATGCCTCCTCCTGCTCGTCCTTCCGCGTTCCTGGGGTTCCTTGGGGGCGTCTTGGGCGGTCCTGGGGCTTTTTGGGGCCTCCCTGGGAGGTCCGGGGGCGCGGTACTGGGACGTGCCCCCAGATGTTCCGGAGGTGGGGGACGCTCCCAGGGAGGGGGGGCGCGCGTATTTGTGTGTAGATGTATATATATATATATATAGATATGTAGATATAAATATAGATCTGTATCTATATATATATATACATATATAAAAAATAAAGGTTCCCATGAGGTGCTACCGACCCCCGCCCGCTCCTCTAGGTTTCAGCTCCATTGACGCGGTGCTTGCGCCGACGGGTCTCTCTGTACCGTCGCACGGGCTGGCCGGCGGGAACCCATCGGGTATACCTGCGCCAAGACGCCCTTGCGGACCCGACCGGGTAAGAGGCCCCGCCGTGAAAAATGTCGCAGCGAACGAACGGAAAAAGGGTGGCGCCGGACGCACAGCGCGGCCCTTCCATGTGGCAAGGCTGCGCGGCCCCAGGTTCGCCACTGAGCACGGACATCTTCCAGTGGAGGTGGAAAGGGCGCCCGAACGAGCACACGCTCGACGAAATAGGCACCGAGTAGCGACGCTGCACGATGCCTCCCAGGACCAATGACATGCATGTTCCTGTGGAACTGCCCGTCCACGAGCGCCGAGGGTACGAAACAGAGCGGCGCTTCAAACCGTAATATGTACTGTAGCAAAAAGTTGTTGTTCCTGGACGGAACCCAATTCAGAGATGTAGGTCTCGACGTGGGCGGCATCAGCGGCCGAATGCTCCACCAAAGCCTCACGGGCTGGGTCACCAATTGATGAGATGGTAGGAGCAAGAGCAGGGTTGGGGAGGAGGAGGGGGGAGGAGGGGGGAAGTGACGAGGGTGGGCGAAGGGAGAAGGACGAGGACGGGGAGGGGGGGGAAGGGCAACCCTTGAGCCCTGCCTCCCGTGCAACATTTCCTCCCCGGCGGACGTAAAACTTCCGGCGTGGAGCACTGGCACGGATCAGTGGGAAGCCTGAAACAGACAGGAACGGAAGCCTGGCCCTGAGGGAGGCAGGTCCCCATCGGTCGACAGGGTTTGGCAGAAACATCGAGCAGGAAGGCTTTGCAAGACGACTGGATGTTCGCCCGCCCCCTGAAGACGAGGAAAGACGGAACGCCGCTCGATCCTTGAAAGAAGAAGGCACCAGAAGGAACTATATTGGAACCTGGAAATCCCACAGCACCTACCTTCAAGGACGGATGGGTGACCTTCCTGACATATCACCTCTTAGAGCCGACGCCACCTGGGTCAATCTTGCCATCTTTGCTTGCAACTGCGCATGGGCGCGCGCTGAAGCCGCTCGGGCACAGACGCTCCAGGAACCACGGAAAGCTTAACGTCTGGACCCGGACGCCCTCCTGCCCACACGGCCAGCATACATCTGGCGTAACCCCGCTGTCAACAAAGAGGCACGTCTGGTTGCTCATGCTGTTGTTCTGGCCTCGACGTCGTCGCTCTCCACCCAACTCCCACCTGATAGTTGTCCTCGGCCGTCCCTCTCCCGTTGTCCAAGAAATTGCATCAGATGTTGTGCAGACGCTGTACCAAGTGTTGCGCCGCATGCTAGGCCAAACATGAGGCCATGTCTTGCGCCGTGAATTGCACCGCATGCTGCACCGTGCGTTGCGCCATCAGTGTTGCCAGACGTTGCACCGTAAGTCCCTCGTACCGCCTCGCTCCCACACCGTCAGTTTTTCCTTGAGCGCCGTGAACTGTGCCAGAGGTTGCGCCAAGTGCTTAACGCGGCGTGTCGCTGAGTTTCTCTCTTGACGGCCGGAAGTCAGAGTACTCCGCTGCTTAGGGTGCGCTCGGCCGCCCGAACGTCTTTCCGCCTCGGAGCGGCTTCGCAATCAGTTGCGACCTCAGCGGCAAAAGCAGGAAGCACCTGCCGATGCGTGCGACCAGTCCAGACCAGTCAGCCAGTCCAACGCAATTCCCGAAACAGCTTCTGGCTACGCCTGAAGTGGGATTGTGACGAGAGCTCACAATGATGCGGGGATGCGACAAGGGGGTATCGTGGATGTCGTACCGATATGCCTTGTTGCTTACTTACGGTGTCCTTGCCCAAGGATTGGTCTCTTGCCAAATGTCTGCGCAACACATGTCATCATATTCTGCCTTTCCGGTCCATACCGGCCCTACGAATCCCACCAGCCCTTTGGGCGTGAGTGGTTTAGGGGGCTCTCTCTGTTCTCAACCCCCCTTCTTCCCCTTCGGGGAGGGGTTTACCCCTCCCCCTACCCCCTCCCCCTGGACCTGGAGAGGGAGTTCCGCGGGTCGTCAGGGGGGTCTTTTTCGACGTCTGGGAGGGCCAAAAAAACGACGACCCTCACGAGGATTCTGGCCCCGAGGGGAGGGGGGGAGTTTGGTGCCTCAGCTCGTTTTTGAAGCAAAAATCATTGATTTTACGACGGTGTTGGCCCCATTTTGGCCTTCTGAGGGGGCCGCGTTCCCCTTCCTTCATAGCAAAACCATTGATTTTACGAAGGTTTTGGGCTCATTTTGGTCAAATCAGGGGGAAGCGTTCATTTGCGCTTCTGAGGAGGTCGCAAGAGGCTCCAAGATGGACCCAAGAGGCCCCCAGGAGGCTCCCAAGAGGCCTCCAGGAGGCCCCCAAGAGGCCCCCAAGAGGCCCCAAGAGGTCCCCAAGAGGCTCCCAAGAGGCCCCCCAGAGGCCCCAAGAGGCTCCAAGAGGCCCCCAAGACGCCCCCAAGAGGCCCCCAAGAGGCCCCCAAGACGCCCCAAGAGGCTCCAAGAGGCCCCCAACAGGCCCCACGAGGAGCTCGAACGACTCACACCAGGACGAGAGACCCCAACGACTCACACCACGAGGAGCCCGAACGACTCACACCACAAGGAAGGGCCCGAACGACTCACACCAGGACGAGGCGCCCGAACGACTCACACCACGAGGAGCCCGAACGACTCACACCACGACGCGGGCCCCGAACGACTCACACCACGAGGAGCCCGAACGAGTCCCACCAGCCCTTTGGGCGTGAGTGGTTTAGGGAGCTCTCTCTGTTCTCAACCCCCCTTCTTCCCCTTCGGGGAGGGGTTTACCCCTCCCCCTCCCCCCTCCCCCTGGGCCTGGAGAGGGACCCCCGCGCGTCGCCAGAGGGGGTCTTTTTCGACTCCTGGGAGGGCCAAAAAACGACTACCCTCACGAGGATTCTGGCCCCGACGGGGGGACGCAGTTTGGCCCCTCTGCTCTTCTTGGGAACCAACATCATTGATTTTACTAGGGTTTTGGCCCCATTTTGGCCTCCTGAGGGAGCCGCGCTCATCGTCCTTCATCGCAAACTCATTGATTTTACGAAGGTGCTGGCCTCAGTTTGACTTTCTCAGGGGCCAGCTCTTCTTTGCGCTTCTGAGGAGGCCGCAAGAGGCCCCAAGATGGCCCTAAGAGGCCCCCAGGAGGCTCCCAAGAGGCCTCCAAGAGACCCCCCAGAGGCCCCCAAGCGGCCCCAAAAGGCCCCCGAGAGGCCCCCAAGAGGCCCCCAAGAGGCCCCAAGAGGCACCAAGAGGCCCCCAAGACGCCCCCAAGGGGCCCCCAAGAGGCCCCCAAGAGGCCCCAAGAGGCTCCAAGAGGCCCCCAAGAGGCCCCACGAGGAGCCCGAACGACTCACACCAGGACGAGGGGCCCGAACGACTCACACCACGAAGAGCCCGAACGACTCACACCACAAGGAGGGGCCCGAACGACTCACACCAGGACGAGGCGCCCGAACGACTCACACCACGAGGAGCCCGAACGACTCACACCACGACGCGGGCCCCGAACGACTCACACCACGAGGAGCCCGAACGAGTCACACCAGGAGGAGGGGCCCGAACGACTCACACCAGGATGAGGGGCCCGAACAACTCACACCACGAGAAGCCCGAACGACTCACACCAGGACGAAGAGCCCGAACGACTCACACCACGAAGAGCCCGAACGACTCACACCAGGAAGAAGGGCCCGAACGACTCACACCAGGACGAGAAACCCCAAACGACTCAAATCACGAGGAGCGCTTTCTCTCCCTCCTCCTCCGCCTCGTCCTTCTCCCGCTCCCCCCACAAGGAGGATGTACAAGGAGGCGGGAGGAAGGAGGAACAGGGGAGATATGCGGGGCCAAGCGGACACACGCCTGAAAAACACGACTGTCGGCATGCTTCGCAAGAGTTGCTGCTGTGAGATGGGCTGGTGGGGATACGCGAAGCGTAAAGAATTCGAAACCACCAGAACAGAAAGACACGGGCCCAACACATGCGGGCGCAACCGCGGGCAACGAGGCAGTTGGAGCATTGGCGAGGGCACTGCCTCCAATAATACCAGTCGCATACTCAGAGGCCTGACGCTGCAAACAAAAATGCGACGGCTGGAGCCCTGGACCACGTCTTTCTCTATCGTGCTTCGAGCCGGATCCACATGCGAGGCTCCTGAGGCCCGAACCTGGGCGGAAACGCCCGTTGTGGAAAAGTTGCAGCGCCCAAATCTCAGGGTGCCACTTGTCGCACAGTAGCGCAGCAACGCCGACACCCCCTGAATGGCCATGACTGTGTCATTTGGCCGCGGCGGCGCCTCCTTCGTTGTTGGCGGAGCCGCTCGGCGGCGACTTCGGGGCGGTGAGCTCGTACACCGTGTTGGCCTCCATCTCGCTGTCGCACAGCAGTGATCCAAACGCCACAGATTCCAGTACCAGCCTCTGCACCGAAGAAAATGCACAACAGCCATGTCACTGATACGTCGCACATGGGAGACTACCACAAGAGAGGAGGGAAAGTAAAAAGGGACAGGGTTGGTCCCGAGAGGGTGCAGATCAAAAGAACAACCGCTCAATCTTCCCCAAAGGGCTCCTTAAAGACCCTTTCCCGAAGTCAACGCCCCCACTCTCGCGACTCTCGCGCCGTCGAACACCCACATCATCCGCCACCGTGCCGCGAGGCACGAGTTGGAGTGTCCAAAGGGGCCCAGACCCCAAATTCTCAAACCTCCCATGACTCCAGGTAAGCCCGGGGCATCATCCCGCACGACTGCGACGGACCATAAGGCTGAACTGATGCTAGAAACGCAGGGGGGAGGGCTGCTTTTTAGATTGCTGTGTGCTCGGTTTCGGCCAACCGCAACGAAAAAACACGACAACACAACACATACTCAAACTGCAACCCGCGCGAGCAACACGGCTAACCGAGAATACCAGACCCAGACCGAATCAGATCATTGGCCCCAGAACGGCAACAAACGTCGCTCTTACAAAACAAGCGGGAGGTGCGGGCACTTGTGTCCATATCCACTTCAGCCTGGAATTCCCAGCTCTCTTTCCCAGAAGCCCATGAAAAAAGTTAGGCCCCTAGGGGCTCATCAATTTGTATCCATTCTCAGCCTTGCGGCACCCCTTCCAAGGAAGTCCAAGACGCACAGGATATGTACACAAATCCTGCCCGCCGCAGGAGCGGGTGGGGGGGGGGGGAAACAGCGTTTCTCAGATCATATTGGCAAGACGGGCCCATAGACCAGGCCTCTGCCGCGCGATGGGCTGCGGGCTCCCATGGTGGGAAAGACGAGGCTGGCCGCGGAGGGAGGAACGCGGGGGGATGTCTCGCGGGAGAGTGGGGGCTGCTAGGAGTGCCCCTGGCCCAAGGTACTCCTGGCTTCTCGCTCCACTCTGGACCCCGAGGCCCCCTGGGCCTCGTGAGGAGTGCTCTTGAGTATCGTTTACCCGATCCCCGTCCCCAGCGGCGTGGCCTGGGTCCCACTGGCCAATGTACCCCCCTAAATGGGCATATAGGTCGTGCCATTCAGCTTCGAGGGGTGTCTCCCCAACTGGGGTGGTACTTTGGTGGGGATCTCGAAGGGGATGGGGAGGGGGCTGGGGATCGTTTAAACGATACTGAGCTCTGGAAGCCGTGGGGGGCCTTCCCGGAAATCCTGGGGGCACCTTTGGGCCAGCGGCACCTTAGCAGCACCCGGTGTGAGTGGGGTCTGACTCCTGGAGGGTCAGAATCCGCAAAAATCAGATCAAATAACAACACTGGTCTGATAGCAGTGCTGGCCTGGGCGACGCATCTCCGAAGGGACTGCCACGGACAACAAGAAATAATTTCATACTTGGTAATGCAAAAGAGGCCCCGTGCAAGGAAAACACACACACACACACTTGAGTTTACCTTTTCCTGACCCCCAAAAGGCTTCCCAGCTAGCAGGCGAAGGAAGGCCGAATGACACGGCGCAGTGGCGGATCCGTCAGCGTCGCTGGTGTGAAGAGGCATCCTATCTTTGGACAGTACGCGGATGGGGTAACACGCTGACGGGCTTCCAACGGCGGCGCACTCTTGATGCCCGTTGTCCCTCTCGAGTCGGGCGAAGACGAGAGGGGGGAGGAGGGAAGATATCGAGCTGGGAAAAAACAGAAGAGGGGGGGGGCAGGGAAGGGCAACAAGTGGGCAGGACGATGCGTACCAACGTACCCGTGATGAACTGTCTGCGGGCAGCTGGGCTCGGGGTTCTTCCATCCTCCTTGTTTCCCTCCCCGCCCCTTCAACATCCTCCTCATCCTCCTCCTTCTTCCTCGTACTCCTTCTTCCTCCTCCTCCTCCTCCCCCCTCTTCCTCCCTCATCTCCTCCTCTTCCCCCGTCCTCCTCCTCCTCTTCTTTCTTCCTCCTCCCCCTCCATATCCCTCCTCCCCCCGGCCCAGATCCCAAGACCGTGCGATAACCCCTATAAAAGCCCCACTGGCTCACCACACGGTGTGGCCACCAAACCGTTGTGGGGCCTCTACGTAGACGCGAAAACGACTTGCACTCTGCCAGGGCCGAGAAACGACTGGTTTGGGTTCAACTCGTTGTCGGACCGCGACTGCTACTCTCGCTAAATTACAAAGAGATCGAAACCAATCCGCCAGCCCCCTTGTGGGGCCACCAGGCTGTAGGCCTAGGTTGCTGCTCGCTGCGCCAGTTACAATTTCAAATCTCCAGTGTTACAGTCCTGCTGTCTGCTTCCTACCGTAAATTGTTCAAGTCTGCGCGAGGGTGGTGGTGGTCCAAACCGGCATTTTACCACCCTCGCATCGCGTGCTCTGACTTCCCGGGGGGGCGTGGGACACGTGAAAATAAATCAGATTCGCGCCCCCGAGGCCAGCAACGCTCGCCAATTACACAATTCTTGTCCCCGGGGCAACAAGCCCATTGAAAATTATGCAATAGTCGCGCCCCAGAGGCCATAAACCATCGTAACTTACGCCGTCCGTATTCGCATTGCCGAGGCCAAGCGTGCTCCAAGGCGTCCGAAGACGGTTCCAAGACGGCCCAAGAGGGCCCCGAGAGGCCCCAAGAGCGCTCCAAGAGGCCTCCCAAAAGAGCCCCAAGAGGTCACACTCGCCGAGATCACGCGGGTGTTTGAGGGAATTTGGCCTTCTCGCGTGTTCTGCCTTCCGACGCTCCACGACGGCTCAAGAAGCTCCCAGGACCGCCCCAAGACAGCCCGAGAGGACCTCCAAGAGGCCCCCAAGAGGTCCTCAAGACGGCCCAAGAGGGTTCCAAGATTGAACAAGAAGCGCTCAAGACGGTTCAAGAGGGCACCAAGAATGCCCCAAGGGGGGCCCAAGCAGGGGACCACGAACCGACAATAATATATATATATATACAGATATACATACATACATACATACATACATACATACATACATACATACATACATACATACATACATACATACATACACACATACATACATACATACATACATACATGCATACACACAAACATACATACATACATACATACATACATACATACATACATACATACATACATACATACATACATACATACATACATGCATACATACATACATACATACATACATATATATATATATATATATATAGATGCATGTGTGCTCCGAGAAGCCCCCAGGAGGCCCCAAGAGGCCGCCGAGAGGCCCCAAGAGGCGCCCAAGACGGGCTCACGAGGCCTCGAAGAGGCCAAATAGATACCCCACGAGGCCCCAAGAGGCCCTCAAGAGGCGCCCAAACCGCCTCCAAGAGGCCCCCGAGAGGCTCCCCACGACACCCAACAAAAATATATTATCCCGGCAAAGCAACCTAACAGCGATGTGTAGGAGCATATCTGGAAGCATTCCCCTTAAGATTCAGATGAGAATCCAGTTGTAGAATTCTGCTGTTCTCGCAGTCGTAGTCGCATTCGCGATGACAGTCGCAGTGGCAACGGCAGTCACAGTCACAGCCTCAGCCTCAGCCTGCCTCAGCCTCAGCCTCAGCCTGCCTCAGCCTCAGCCTGCCTCAGCCTCAGCCTCAGCCTGCTTCAGCCTCAGCCTCAGTCTGCCTTCAGCCTCGGCGTCAGCCTCAGCCTGCCTCAGCCTCAGCCTGCATCAGCCTCAGCCTCAGCCTCAGCCTGCCTCAGCATCAGCCTGCCTCAGCCTCAGCCTCAGCCTGCCTCAGCCTCAGCCTCAGCCTGCTTCAGCCTCAGCCTCAGTCTGCCTTCAGCCTTCAGCCTCAGCCTCAGCCCTCAGCCTCAGCCTCAGCCTCAGCCTGCCTCAGCATTCAAAATGTGGCCCGGGAATGGAGTTCTGGGAATCGAAGTGGCCTACTGGCCATTCAAAATGTGGCCCGGGAATGGAGTTCTGGGACTCCACGAAGTGGCCTACAGTTGGCTCCGGGCATCCAAAATGTGGCCCGGGAATGGAGTTCTGGGAACTCGAAGAGCACGAAGTGGCCTACAGTTGGCTCCGGGCATCCAAAATGTGGCCCGGGAATGGAGTTCTGGGAATCGAAGAGCACGAAGTGGCCTACAGTTGGCTCCGGGCATCCAAAATGTGGCCCGGGAATGGAGTTCTGGGAAATCGAAGAGCACGAAGTGGCCTACAGTTGCATCCGGTTATTCAGAATGTGGCCTGGGAATGGGGTTCTGAGAGGTCGACGAGCACGAAGTGTGTGACTGTTGGTGAAAAACGAGCCCGGCACAGGCCCGGCCGGCAACTCCCAACGCCTGCCCGGACCCCCCTGTGGAGTGATCTGTGAGCTCTTTTGAATCAACTAGAAACCTATCAGTCTTCGCTGTTAGGTAAAAAAATGAAAACTCAGAGAAATCAGTGTGTGTGTGTGACGGTTGTGTCAGGGAATTGAAAGTTGAGATGTGACAGGTCGACAAGGACACTGTGTATGAGTGTTGCATGATAGTGAGAGAACGAGTGTTGCCCAGGAGTGTCGCCCAGATATGAAGTTCTGAGAGGTCACAGAGCACAAAGTGTGTGACTGTCGCGTGGGATTACTCTGAATGTATCCCGGGATTGCCGTTCCAGACAGCCAGATAGCCCGGCGTGTATACCTGTTGTGTGCGATTTTTCCAAATGTAGCCTGGGAATGGCGTTCTGGGAGGTCTCGGAGCACGAAGTGTGTGACTCTTGCATCCTATTATTCCGAATGTGGCCTGGGAATAGGGTTCTGGGATGCCAAAGAGCTCGAAATGTATGACTGTTGCATCCCGTTAATCAGAATGTGGCCCGGGAATGGAGTTCTGGGGTGTCAAGTACGAGGAATTGTGTGACTGTTGCGTCCGGCTATTCCGAATGTGGCCCGGGAATGGCGTTCTGGGAGGTCAAGGAGCACCAAGTGTGTGACTGTTGCGTCCGGTTATTCAGAATGTGGCCTGGGAATGGGGTTCTGAGAGGTCGACGAGCACGAAGTGTGTGACTGTTGGTGAAAAACGAGCCCGGCACAGGCCCGGCCGGCAACTCCCAACGCCTGCCCGGACCCCCCTGTGGAGTGATCTGTGAGCTCTTTTGAGTCAACTAGAAACCTATCAGTCTACGCTGTTAGGTAACAACAGGCCTCAGACCCACAACCCAGGCACGGTGGCGGGATGGGCCGAAAGCCAACAAGATAACGCCAACGACTCAGCATGCGCAGATGATTCCTATCCGCCCCCGCATGTTCCCAGATGCGCCAAGGCAGTTCCGAGACGCACCGACGCGAGTCTGATACCCCGTTGTGATAGAGAAGGGGCCGGCGGCAGTGGGCGAAGCCTTTACGGATCAGTGCAGCTTCGTCGGGTGCTGTTGAAGTCCTCTCGCGGACCTGTTGGCCCCACTTGGAGGCATATCAGGCCGGTGGTGATGATGATGATGATGATGATGATGATGATGAGGTCGATGATAATGATGTTGATGATGATGGTGATGATGATGGTGTCCCGATGATGAAGATGATGATGATGATGATGATGATGATGATGATGATGATGATGATGATGATGATGTTTTTTGTTGTTGCTTGCTTCTGACGCACGGGGTCGATGGGCCGAGCCCGGGGGCGCTTCCCTGGGGCAGCCTCGCTGGCGAGCTGGCTCGCTCTTACGGCAAAATGCCAATTAGGCGCCTGGTGTCCGCGGCTGCTCCTTGGGCAACCCCGCTGGCACACTCTTCCGACGGCGGGTCCTGCTCGTGGCGCGTGCCTTCCTCAGGGCTCGCCCTCCTGGTCCGAGGTCCAGAGCGTCAGATTGTCGCGGAGCAGCTGCATGATGAGGGTGGAGTCCTTGTAAGAGTCCTCTGCGACGTTGTCGAGCTCGGCGATCGCGTCCTCGAAGGCGGTGCGCGCCATCTTGCACGCCTCGTCCGGATTCGCCAACACCTCGTACTGAAACACAGAGAAGTTCAGAGCAAGACCGAGGCGGATCGGGTGCGTCACTGCCAAGTCCTTGGTGGCAATCGCTTGCGCCTCCTCGTAGGCTAATTTGGCGTCGTTCGAAGCCTTTTCCTTGTCAGCACCGGTAGTGTACTCGGCAATGTAGCGGTAGTAGTCGGCCTTCATCTTCTGGTAGAAGACCTTCGACTCGCCTGTGGTTGCCTTTCCGATGAGACTGTTGTCCAACACGGCAAGGATCTTCTTGCAAATGTCATCGAGCTCACCCTCCACCTTCTTGCAATACTCCTTCGCGAACTTTGCGTTCTCCTCGTTGCCCTTGCTAGTCTCCTTCTGCTCCACGCTGGTGATGATACGCCATGCAGCGCGGCGCGAACCCACGGCGTTCTTGTAGGCCACGGACAAGAGATTGCGTTCTTCAACTGACAGCTCGTCCCCTGACTTCCCCACTGCCTCCATGTGAGTCGCCATCTCGTCGTAGCGCTCCGCTTGCTCCGCAAGCTTCGCGAAATAAACCTCCTTATCGCGATTCACTGCCATCCCTACAACTGGCTGTTTTGCGAGGTGGACCCCCGGCCGATGCTGCGTATCTCCAATCTGATTGGAAATCTCTTCGCCTTGAGCCAAAAATTCCATGCAGGGGGCATCTCAGACCGTCTTGAGGCCATGTTCGGCCGCGTTCGGGCCGTCTTGGGCCGTCTTCGATGCATCTTGGGCCATGTTGATGTCCTTGGTTGCCTGCGCGGGCCATCTTGAAGCTCGGGGCGCGGATCCGTCGTCTTTGACAAAGGCGCCTCGAGAGTGCAGACCGATCGCTTTCGTTTACTAGAAATCAAAAGCCTCGGGAGGGGGAGCGATGCATGACGCCGGATGCGACATGAGGGGGGATCCCTTCGCAGAAACCCACCAGGTCTCTGGGCGTGAGTGGTTTAGAGCGGTTCCTCTTCTAGATTCTCTCGTCCCCTTCGGGGAGGCACCTCCCCCTCCCCCCTCCCGCTGGGTCAGGAGACGGGGGGATCGCGGCCCATTGCAGCGTCCAAGACTGCCTCGGCGTAAAGGCACACCTTATGAGCTAGACCGAGGATTTTGAAGCCAACCTTGTCGTCCTGTGGGGGAGGCTGATTTTCTCCGCCCCCCCCCACTCGTTGGTTGGACTCTTCCAAGAGAAGCCCAAGCAGGTCCCCAAGGCGTCCAAGAGTGCCCCAAGAAGGCCCCAACAGGCGCCCATGAGGTCCCAAGAGGCCCCCAAGAGGTCCCCAAGCGGCTCCCAATAGACCCTCAATAGTCCCGAGGAGGTCCCCCACGAAGCACCCAAGACGCTCTAAGAGGCCCCCGGTACCGCCAAGAGGCCCCCGAGACGCCCCCAGAGGACTCTGAGAACCTCTCAAAAGACATCCGAAAATACGCCGAGAGGCAGCCAAGAGGCCTCTGCCCTTTTTGCTCGCCCTGAACTTTCCTCCCTCCTTCCTCCTCCCTCATCTCCCTCCCCTCGTACTCCAACTTCGATTTCTCCTCCATCCTCCCCCTCTTGGAGTATGACGGTTTCGCGAGCCAGCACGCCTTACGTCAAACCTGCTGAGGAGAGAAGTCTCACGATGTTGCAAGAAGGGAGCACACACAAACTTTCGGAGCTCCGCACGGGGCCCAGGAAGTGTGCGTATACAACGGTGCTTCTTCTTCTTCTTCGAGTCGTGCTGAGGTGCGAGGCTCGCCTGTTCGGCCAGCCTCGCGAGCGGACTCCCGACCAGAGGGCGCCTCCGCCGGACCCTCGCGCCCCTCCCGCACAGGAGCGAGCCACGGGCCTCCGGAAGTCCTCCCCGGTGAGCCTGACGGAGTCCACCCGCTCCGAGTCGATGGCTCCTCGGATCTTCTGCGCGAGCTCCTCGCGAGCAGGCAGGGCGGCTGCGAGATCGTCGGCCCCGAATCAGAAAGCACACGACTGCCGTTGTTGGACACACACACACACACACTGGCATCTCTCTCTCTCTCTCTGTCGCTGTACTGCCCGTCGTCAGCCACTCGTGTGGCAACTTAGGGGGCCCTCCCATGCTGTCTTGCTGGGCCTTGCGAGCCGACGCTAATCGACGCAGATCAACGCTGGATCGAAGCTAGTCGGCGCTAAATCGGCGCATTGCCATCGATGACCAAACGCCAGTGCACGCCAGTGCACGCCAGTTACAAAGGCCCCCCTGCATTGCTGCCGAAATTGTTCAGCGTGGGCCAGGTCTACATCGCAAAGGGGGAAGGGGACTGCCACTCCTTGACAAGCACCTTGCCACGATGTATGGTCGCTGCGACCGACGCGCGACCTCCCAAGCCGCGCCAGTCCCTGGGTGACATGGCGAAGTGGTGTTCTGTGGACTGGATCCTGCGTAATGTTGTTGTCGTCGTCGTCGTCGTCGTCGTCGTCGTCGTCGTCGTCGTCGTCGTCGTCGTCGTCGTCGTCGTCGTCGTCGTCGTCGTCGTCCCCGCGGCGACCCACCCGCCACCTACCTGCGACCTACCCGCGACCTACCCCGCGACCCAACTGTGACTCACCTGCGACCCACCCCGCGCGCGCCCCCTCACTCTTATCCGCAACGGCTTGGTGCTGCGTGTCCAATATCCGCGCCCTCGCGGACTGGAGTCGGGGGCGCGATCTGGTGGATACGCGGTCTCATGGATACGTTCTGCGCGGGGCATCCGCGAGAAATCCATGGGGTCGCGGCCCAGGGCCCAGCGCAGGGGGCTTGTGGATAGGAGTATGCTTCCCGCCATGGGGCGACACTAGGCGAGCAATTGGCGACGCATTCGGTCCCTCCCTGAATGGATCCCTCAAGGCGGGACTGTGCATAAAATATTCAGATATGTTTACAGGACAACGACATCAGAACCAACAACCGCCGCAATTCCGTGCTGAGTTCGCCAGTGAGGTCATATCAGGTAAGTCTTGGGCGTGAATAGCGCAGGGGCGATGTATGGGGGGGGGGAGAATGGAGCACTTCTCGGGCCCCAGAGGCCCCCTTTTGAGCCCTACAGGACCCCATTTAGAAGCCCTACCGGGCATCGTTTCTGCAGCCCTCGCTGCCCCCCCCAATCTACCGCCCCCGAAGTAGTCGACGCCCACGATTCCGCCGACCCCCGCCTGCCAGGGGCGGACAGGCCTGTGAGACACTCGGCCGTTCCCCTTCCCCTTCCCCTCTTGCCCTCTTCCCCTCTGTTCCCCCTCCCCTCTTTCCCTTCCCCTTCCCCTCTTGCCTTCGCTTCCCCTCCTTGCCCCGCCCCCTGGGGCCTACAGTCCCGTGAGAGGACGGCGCGCCTCCCTCCCTCTCAGGTGGGGCTCACCAGCGCGCCTCCCTGGGGCCCTCGGAGGCTCCATAGGTCGGGCGTGTCCTCCTGCAGGCGGATTTTGAAGGAAGAAAAGCGAATATCCCAAATATGCGGGAAAATATTCAAAAATAGGGGAACATCCTCCCCATATTAGTTTTTTTGACTACAGATCCACCCTCCGCGGCCGCAGAAGATGCCCTTGACATCCCTCCGACGCACAGCTCCGGAAAAAAAACAAAAAAAAAAAAAAAAAAAAAAAAAAACGCCGGAGGGGCCTCGTGAGGCATCAGGGCGCCCCACCCCAGGAGGGCACCGAAAGGGGACCCCCGACGAGGGCCTCGAGGAGCAACAAAAAGCAACCGACTTCCCATACATCTGTTTGAACGGTGATCGCGTTCTCGCTTTTTCCCGGCTTGGGGAATCCCAAAAACGGCCCGAGAGGCCCCCCAGGCCAGCCCCAGAGGCGGTCCAAGAGGGCCCTAAGGCGACCCGAGAGGCCCCCTGGACGGCCCAAGAGACCTCCAAGGCGGCCCCGAAAAAAAGCCCCAAGAGGGAAAACTCGCAGGGACCCCGCAGCCCTCCCCCACAAGAGGGCCTCCAAGACCCCCAACATGCCCCAAAGATGCCCAAAAGATGCCCCCAAGAAAGCCCTGGATGCCCTACGAAGCCCCCACCAGCTTTTTGATAATGCTCCCAGAGGCCAAATTCGCAGCAACTACAAGCAGGCAACACGACGGAAACACATCAGACCCGTATTTGTCATCATCTGGGGTTTGGCGAAATGACGTAAGCCTACCCCACCGTCTGAACGTTGGAATTGAGTCATGGCTGGGCCTCGCAAAAACGAAAACTAAACAGATCCGATGCTTCTTTATCATCGCCGCCCCCTAGGGCAAATGTTTGCAGCGCCTTTCCAAAACGCCTGGGGACATATGCCATGCTCGAAAAATTCAAACACAATGAGACAAAATATACCGTTGTCTTGATGTCAACGTTGATGGCACTAATATTGAACCTATGGTTGAGCCCGCGCTAACACACGATATGATTATAATATTGCTCCGGCCATGATCATTGTGACGCCCTCGGCATCGTCATCGAACTGCCATCGCCGTCATAATCATCATGAACAGTCCAATGTATTGTCAATTTGTTTGGGGGGGAACCGTATCAGGGGGTGGCTCGCGCAGACGAGGCAACCCGATGGAGGATCGAAAAATGATGTGCGGGGACGCCTGCGGTTCTGCGGGCCCTCGTTGCGATCCCCCCCTACTTCCCCCTGATCCCCCGTCGCGGGCGAGGGGTACAGTCATGGCACTTACCACAAGGACCGCAAAATAAAAAACCCAAACCCAGGGGGTCTCCTGGCCACAGCGAGCCTAGGTCACGAACAGGCTCCCCGACCCAGACCTGGGGCAATAGTAATTAGCATCAAATCAGGACGTCGGATAAAATCGGAATGCGCGTCGGATCGAGCGGTACGGAGCCGAAATCGAATCGCACCGGCCGCGCTAGGACGCACGACAGCACCATACCGCAGACACCGAAGCAGGAGCGGCCGCGGTGGCGGAGTCGGAGCCAGCATGCAGGAGCAATAAACTTCATAGACGTAAGCCCCTCCTCCTCCTCCTGCTCCTCCTCCTCCTGCTCCTCCTCCCCCTCCTCCTCCTCCTCCTCCTCCTCCTCCTCCTCCTCCTCCCTCCTACCCATGGCAATGTTGGTGGAAACTCGGCCCCTCATAAACTGCCGGAACTCCACGCGAAT